TGCTTCCTTCCAGGTGTGTAGCCAAATCTCCCGTAACTCCCAGTCAGCACGGTCCAAGAACATGCTGGCTGTGGACGATAGGAGTTGTAATCCACATCTGGATTAGAAAGTTGTGCCTTACGGTTTCATGTAAATTGAAAATCTGACAGAGAGGTGGCTTGACTCAGAAAATCAGAGCCCAGAATATTTCTCTCATCGCAATCTTTGCTGAGCAACAGGATCACTGAGATGCTTCAGCTCCAAGTTTATTTTGACCCTTTTGGTGCTTTCTAGAAGAAATGGAGGCCTTTTGGGTGTTCTGATATATACATATATTATCTTACCCTTGCTTTTGCTACTAATGGGTCAGCGGCTGCAGCTCACCAAGGGGTGGGGAGAAGCAAAAATAGCCCCATGGGACCTCAAAGTTTCCTCCCCTGTATAGAGGATTAAATCACCAGTCCTTATCTTCGACTTAATGTTTAATTAAGTTTAATTAAGTTAGGATGTATGCACTGAGCGATAGAGGAAATGACATGCTTTCTCTTTGTTTGTTCCCAGCCCATAAACTATACTATATCAGAAGGGGAACTGAGCGTCCAGATCAGGAGCACAGCCTTATTTTGAACTGGAGTAATATTTGGTGATGGATTTGCCACTGAAGCTCAACCACTTTATCCAATCCTTTCATAAGCAGAAGAGTCATGTATGAAAGAAAACTCCCACCTTGTCTCTGAAATATTTTCCTTCTTTTAAGATGATGACCTTGACGGGGTAGCTGATAAAGTTGTCTGTGTTTCCCTTCACCCATTAAGGGCATTTGGAAAAAAACCTCCTTTTTCGCATTTGGAGCATTTCCACTGTAAGGTTAAGTCACCTGCATCTCCTCTCCTATAAATCAATGGTTGTCCAGTTTTCTGTCTTATGAAGTCCTTCTGATAGGCCTTTCTAGTTCATATATCAAAGATATTCCTTGAGATCCAGTCAATGTCTTTTGGCTGGCAAGGGTGAATGTAATGCAACATTCCCCCCCCCCCCCCGCCCCGGCTGTATTTTTCTGTGGGGACTTTTTTTTTTTAAAGATGTTGCTTTATCTTAGCTACCAAAAGCAAACTCGTATAATAAAATTAATATCCATCAAATACTGATCCTTCTATAACCAAAATAGCATCACCGAAGGGAGGTATCAACAGATATAAGGAACTGCAACATTTATAGAAGTACCCCTGCCCAAAATTGTAAAAACCCACAAGGGTGGGAAGGTTAAAATTTAAAAATGGTACTTTGTGCAAAACACTTTGCACAAAAGAACCAGCAATCTGTACTACTTGAGGAATTAATTTGATCTCTGCATTAGTCTAAACCTATAATGGCTTTTTGTACATGCTTATTGGAAGGTAATAAATTGGAGATTTAGCATGAATGAAAAAAGGGAATTAGAATGTACTAGGTAACCTGATCGATGGGAAGCAGCTTTAGCTTCAGTCTAAAATTGCTAGATGGAAAAAGTCTCTTTGAGGTGTATGATCTGGACTTGTTTGGTGGCAGCTAATCTTTGGTCCAAATGGAAAACTGTTGAATCCACATTTTTAGACAAACCTTAGATATTTGTGGGTGTCCATGTGCGGTTAAATTATGTTCCTGTAGGATGGGGATTAAGGACCGGACAAGAGGATCCTGATCACCCTTAGACTCGCAAAAATGGTTATGCTACAAGGTTGGAAAGATGAATATCTAGCAACTATTATTCAGTGGTGCTGAGAATCCAGACATAGGTAGACATATATTAATGCCTTTTTTCAGACACGGGTGCTGGATCTCTGCTGATGTTATTGTGGACTGATTCCCTTTGTTTTTTATTACATTCCAGATTTTAAAAATAAGCTTGTAAAAAGCAAGATACAAACCCTAGGTTGTTTGGAATGAGCGTGCAGCCGGGATCCTTGTTGCCTGATTGTTCCTGCTGGGGCTTTGCAATCCCAAAATACTTGCAGCGGGAACAAGCTAGCATGTTCACTCATTTCCTTATGTGCAGAACAAACCGGGGTTTGCAAATATCCTGGATTGTTGTGGCACGGCAGCCCAAGAGAACGGAGCCATCCCGCTTGTCTTTGAGATGGCCGGACTGGGGGACCCTGAACAAGCGCGTTCCCCGCTGCAGCGTTATGCTGCAGGTCTCTCTTGTATTTTAGTAACGCAAGGGGACTCCAGCCATATCGGCTGTTGTTCCAACGGCGTCGATTCGCTGGCTGTAGAACAGGCAGCAATCACCCGCATGCGATATGGCGCCCTTGATCCATTTATGTCATGGATCTTCCATTTTCTGGCCTTTGTGCCAGAGGTGCTCATAAAAACGATATCCACGCTTAAAGCCACTCAGGGGTGCCTTACGAGGAGGGAGGGGACCCTGCACTTGCAAGCGATACGGGTAGTACTTAGTGGACACTCATGTTTCGACGGCTTTTCCCTTCATGCTTTTTCCAGTGGCTCCTTTATGCGTTCTGGTATGCTGCCAAACACCTGTGCAGTTAACAGTGCAACAAATATGCTTGCTGTTTAATTTAGCTTTGCACAGAAAAGGCCGCATTAGGCCTGGTGTAGGCCTAATCTCGAGCCCTCTAAAGAGGGTTAAGGCACTCTAGTTTCACCTAATCCCGAAACCTAAACCAGAATCTTTGAAAACCTTCGTGACACCACAGGAATGGGCAAATAAAAGGCCTTCCACGATGAAATTATTAAAAGGACACAGTGTGTCTTTTGGATTTGAGACTTAAAGCTTTCCCAAAGGAGCTTGGCCTTGTCCGCAGTAAGAATGTTTATTTTGCAGACAATCGGGCGAAGGTCTCACTGGCTGGGGGGCGCGGCGTGGGAGGAAAAGAAGAAAGAAACAGAAGATCTTCAGTGAAGGTTACGCATGCAAGGAAAACGATGAAACAAGTAACATGTCTAGACATCGCAAGCTTCCAGCAAAACAAAACAAAACCCAAAGCTGATTTCTTATTTTATAGACGGTTCAAAGCATCCACAGAAGACTATAAACCTGATTCTTAATAATACTAAATACGGGCGCTACTAAATAGAACAGAATGGAACTCCTGGCAAGGTGCCCTAAAATGAGAAGCACAATTAGGTTAGTAATTAGCTCCACGCCGTTGTTTTTGCAGAAATAGGAACTTTGTTGACAGGCAGTTTAACGTGTTAAGTGAAACAAAGCAAATAATGGGCTAGAACAGCAGCAAAAGCTGCTCGACGTTTAAATTTTCTACAGTGCTCTACATATACCATCACTCCAGGGCACTGAAGGAAAATAAAACAAAGGGTCCTCTTCAGCACTTTGCTGAGGACCCTTCCTAAGCTATGATTTCACCTAGGCAGCTACATCGGATTGCAGGCTTTGTTGTTTTTCAGCCGTGAAGTCAAGCCCGACTCTTTGCGACCCCATAGACAACATTTCTCCAGGCCTTCCTGTCCTCGACCATCCCTTGGAGTCCACCCACCCCACACCCACCTCCCCAATGACTCCATCCAGCCACCTCAGCCTCTGCCGTCTCCTCCTCCTTTTGCCTTCAATCGTTCCCAGCATCAGGATCTTTTCCCATGAGTCCTTCCTTCTCATTAGGTGGTATTTCAGTTTCATCTTCAGTATCTGGCCTTCTAAAGAGCAGTCAGGGTTGATCTCCTTTATGATTGACTGATATGATCTCTTTGCAGCCCAAGAGACTCACAGGAGTCTTCTCCAACACCACAATTCAAAAGCATCAGTTCTTCAGAGCTCAGTTTTCCTTATGGTCCAACTCTCACAGCCATATATTACAACTGGGGAAACCATAGTTTTGACTATATGAGCTTTTGTCAGCAGGGTGATGTCTCTGCTTTTTAGTATGTTGTCTAAGTTTGCCATAGCTTTCCTCCCCAGGAGCAAGCGTCTTTTAATTTCTTGGCTGCAGTCCCTGTCTGCGGTGGTCTTGGAGCCCAGGAAAATAAAATCTGTCACTACTTTCATTTCTTCCCCATCTATTTGCCAGGAAGTGATAGGACTGGATGCCATGATCTTAATTTTCTTAATGTTGAGTTTCAAGCCAACTTTTACATGCTCCTCTTTGACCCACATCAAGAGGCTCTTTAGTTCCTCTTCACTTTCTGCCATTAGAATGGTATCGTCTGTGTATCTGAGGTTGTTATTTCTCCTGGCAATCTTAATTTCAGCTTGCGATGAGCACAATTGTATGGAACAGAAAAAAATCTTATCTTAGACAGGAAAAAAGACTCCAAAGGGGAATGTTGGGATTTTTTTCTGGCTGTATGGGAATACTGGGAGTTGCAGGGCATCAGGTTGCCCCATTTTGTTGGATCAAACCAGTAATATAGCCCTGAATTGGCTACACTGACGGGGCAGCTCTTCCAAGTTTTAGGCAGGGATTTTCCACACAAGATGCCACAAGTGGAAGTGTGACTCCCCAAATTTCGGGCTATTAACTCCCGCTCTTCCCCGGAAAGCATGGCCAAAGATCTGGGGAGATGGGAGTTGTGGTCCCACAATATCTGGGTGGGGGCATAACAGTTGCGCCCTCAACCATGCTTCCAGAATACAACGCCCATCATCCCTGAACACTGGTTAGACTGCATTCCACTACAGCCATGTTATTCTCCGGGTGCTTCGGACTACAGTTCCCAGCATCCGCTAACTGCAGCGGAGCAAGGAAGCCACCCAGAGATGGAACGCGCAGCAACGCCCGGACCGACATTACCGCGCATGCGCCACTCATTCGCCCAGCCGAGCGCGGAGGCTGATCAAGGCGAGCAAACAGAGGCGCCGCGGCCGTCACGTGACGGAGCGCTCCGGCTCCCTTGTCGAGCTCGGCGCTCGGCTCGCTTCCCTGGCCTCCCGATCTCAGCGTCTCCAGCCGGGCGGGCATCGCGTGTAGATCGCCGGCTCATCGATGCCGCTCCTCTCTTTCGCCCCGCTTCGCAGCGGAGGACGGTGAGGCTCCCACCCGGCACGGGGGTTGCCGAGGTTTCTCTGTGCTTCCTGTATGGGGCGGGGAGCCACTGTGCAAGGGCCTGGACCTTGTCCAGTGTCCCCTTTCCAGCCAGACGGTGGCTTTGGTTTTTAGTGGCTGCAGAGCAGGTAGAAATTCAACAGGAAGAGTCTTTCCTTGGAGAGAGCGGCTTTGCCTAATTATCTCACTTGCACCCCACCCCCAGCGCCCCAAAATCCGGCGACCTTCATCTGTTTTGCGTTAAAGCTCTTAGCATTCCTGTCTTGCTGGCCGGAGCTGATAGGAGCTGTGGTCCAGCGCATCTGGAGGTGGGGACATTATGGTGCTGCACCCTTTGGGTTGCTAACGGCTTTCCTCACCCCACGCACACTAGGCTGGTGTTGTCACAGTTGCACAGCAGGTGTAGTCTTTCCGGTAGAGATGCAAGACTTCGCCATATTTCATGATACGGGCTGTATATGTTTGGTTGGTGCACCGTTATCCCCTTTCTCTGAACTGGTCTCCCCAGTGAGGCTCACGTGGTGTCAGTCTTCTCTTCTAAAAGCAACAATTTGATTTGGACAAAGATTTTTCCCAGTTAAGTAAAATAATATTATTACTCAGATAACACAGTGTCCATCTGCACCTCTGTGTTTATAATCCTCTTATTTTATTTCTTAATGTCCCCACTTTTTGAAATATTACATTAATATGCTTCTGGCTGGGTTATTCATTTTCTGCTTTTCTTGAGAACTGCACTATAGAGCTGTCCTCTGAACTAAGGGAAGCTGGTCAGGCAGGGATCCAACAGGCTTAGGTTTCCCTTGTGGAAATGAGCTCTTCACCTCATCTAATGAGGGAGGACTGCTTTTTGTCCCTGCGCACACATCTGTTGTGCCTTACCCCCTGCAGGTGGAAATCTGACAGGTGCAGCCTTCCCTGTGGACTTGCAGTGGTTGGTGGTAGGAAACGCTTCCGCTGTGGAATGTCAATTGTTTGCAAATACACAAGAGCATAGCCCAAGTAATAAACCTGGTGGTCCTGTCTGGATTGAGTTAACGGCAAATGGCTAATTTCCTTTATCTTTAGATGCTGCATCCCTTTGCTTTTGTACAAAAGAAATATTCGCTTTGAAGAATCACCCCTGGAAGCTGTACTCCATGTAAGTATTTGTGTTGCTCATCTTAAACATTTTTAACCTGCTATTCAGTTCATTGGGGGCATTGTTTAAGCTAATCTAAAACTCAGGATGGGAAACCTTTCCAGTGCCAGGGCCCAATTCAGAGCTGGGAAAGCTATGAGGGAGCAGTTCTGGGGCAGAGCCAAAATGTGTGGGGCCGATCAGAGCTAAGAGGGCCTTTTGCACAGTAGCCCCATCGCTGGACTAAGTCATTTGGGATCTGTTAGGCCCTATCCTTGCAGGCTTTTAAGAAGGCCCTGAAAGTTCATTACTTTCCTTCGGCCTTTGCTATTTTGTTTTATCAGACAAGCTGTTTGTTGTAAGTTTTGTCTCCTGTTTGTGTTTGTTGTTTTTAGAGTGTTTGCTGCTGCTTTTACTATGTTTCTGGTATACCGGTTTTTATGTTGCAAGTTTCACTGCTCTGCACAAGCCTGGGAGGTCGTCTCCCTTTAAAGGCAGCCAAAAAGATATATTAAATAAATAAGCAAATGTCCTTGCTGGGAGAAGAGACACTGCTTAGGGAAAATGGACCTCTCTCCCATGGGCTGATGGTTCCTCATTGGCCATGCTGGCTGGGGGATGATAGGAGTTGTAGTTCTACAAATATGAAGAGCACCGGCTTGAGGAAGGGTGTGCGAAGGTGAATTTGATTGTGTGATAGTCTGGATAAAAATGAAGGCTACTTCAAGATGGCCCATGCAGGGTTGCCTTCCAGGCCCTGCCGCATGCTGGCTTGGCTTCAGGTAGGTTGCTGCATTGTATGCTTTCAGGTTGTCCCCTGGGAACGTCTCTCTTCTGAACAGATGGAAGATAAGCTTGAAAAATAGCTGTTGCACCTTTTCTGCTCAGCTTGATTGCCTAGAGGTGATTTTATTAGTTAAGCTAGGTGACCTGCGATTTTCAAAGCGATAAATAGGGATATGATAATGTCCCTGAATATTGCTTCATTCAACAGTTCTTAGAATAGGTACTTGTATTTTTTCAAAAAAGTACCATGACTTGAAGCTTTTCTTTTTGTAGGTCGATCAGTTTGTTGACGTTTAGTATCAACAGTTTGTTGATGTTTAATACCAGTTGGCACATCCCAGTTTTTGACAGCAAGCCATGCCTGTAAGTGCATCCAAATGGTGATTTTGCCCTCTGGGGCCCTTGGATCTTTTGTTAATGGCAAGAGAGTGCTTTGAGAGCCCGTTGTGTGTGTGTGGATAGCCCAGAGACCATCCTAGCCCCTTAGTTGAGTGCCTGGCTGGAAATTCAATCATGTATATACGGAGTAAGTCCCTCTGAGCTCAGTAGAACTTCTAAGTAAATATTCAGCATTGAGCTGCATTTAATCTTACTATTTCCAATAGTTTTCACAGTAGTGAAGTTTGAATGATTGTATCTTGGCTTGATTAACCAAGATACTGATGTACCTTTTGCTGCTTATGTAGGCTCTTTGATCCAGAAAGCCTTCAGTTAACTATAGTTCCTTGTTTTGACTGAACCAGAAAAATGGTTAGCTTCTTCAGAACAAGCCAGGATATTCCATGGGGTAACAGACTGTTCTGTTCTGAAGCTGGTAACTGTAGCTTCCTGGGGGAGATCCCCTGGGAACCGCATGAGCCACCTTGAGATGCACAACAGGAGAAAGGTGGGATATAAATATAATAAATACGCTGATACAGACTTTTGCACTAAGGAAAAATCAGTGGGTTGGAAGGAAGCCATGTGGAAAAGCATAGCTTTTTCCTGTGGCATCATAAGGACCCATATTATGTCTGTTTTAGTTGAAGGTCGGTCCCACTGGGTTTGATGAGGCATCCTTCACTGTCAGGGAAATCGTAGCCACATTTTGAACTTTCAGTTTCTTTCTGGCAGAGCACAGAGACTCTTTCAGCCCAAGGGCTAAATCCCACTTCGAAGAATCTCTTGGGGATTGCATTCGAGTTGGGAGGAGCCACAGGGAAGAGTTGCTGAACAGAAATTATCAGCCTATTTTAGCTGAAAGGTCCAACTGCCTTAAGAAAGGCATTCTAGCCTTTTAGCAGGGAAGAAAATGCACAAAGAAGGGAATCACTCAGGGGTTGGGTTTGGGGACTGTGAGGGGGGCACTGAATTTCTAGGGACTAGATTCATCCCTTTGAACAGAAGTTCTCTACTCTTCACTTACGGGGATCAACTCCTATGGAACGTTCTTAACATCTCTGACCAGCAGGAAGTCTGTACTGATAGGAGATGAAATGTGTGTGGATTTGACCGTTTTTATGCTGTGGCAGTTTCGAATTCTGGTTAAGCAGCTGCTTGGAAACCTCATAAATGTATTGTTTGGAGATGACTTGAACCGGCGTCCTTGGAGCGCCAGAGGGCAACGTGTCTTGCTAGCAGGCAGTGGTTGTGATCTTTGTGTCCCTGGAGATCACATCAAACCACCTCCCAGATACTTAATCTCAATGAGCACTAAATACCAAACAGATGACCTAGATCTCATGCGTCTGAGTGGTTTGAATTTGGTGGTGGCTTTTTGAGTGATTCCTGTGCGTGTATTTTGGGACTCGTTTTAGAAAGGAGTCATGCCAAAGGCTTTTGCCGTTCTGCTGGGTGGTGCTGTTGGCATTTTGTGTTTTTCATTTAAAAAAAACTGAACATTAAATGTGATTTGCCTCTTGTGCAGGGGAAAAGGTAGAGTTGAATGGCAAGGACACTGGTTCAGCAAGATACCACTTTTTTAAAAAACAAAATTTATTATTTTCTCTATAAATCCAAAACTAAAAACAACAGTTATTCAGGACATCGGATATACTGGGTCGACATCACACTATTTTTTACATTTAAGAACTATATTCTGTTCTACGCGTAGTCCCCTTTCTCTAACCATCTCTGCGCAATCCAAGATCTTTTTTAAAATCAACTCTTCATTAGGTGGCTCTTCGCTTCTCCAACGTTGAGCAAATGCAATCCTTGCCGCAGTAGTTATATGTAATGTCAAATATATAGTTTGTTTATCAAAATTATCAGGAACAATACCTAATAGAAAGACTTCAGGTTTAAATGTTAACTGTTTATGCAGCATTTCCTCAAGGTACTTGTGTTTAGGCAAAAAATATTGGGTTAAAATACACATGTTCACCTCAAATGATAGAAGGTACCAGGTTTGTGTTTATATTTCCAACATCTGTTTGAAGCAAGATAGCACTTTTAAGTCACATCCGTTTCAGTCTGAACATCAAGCACAGGTTTAAAGACTTCGCTTGGAAATAACTGGAATTTAAATGCCCGTGAGTGCAAACTGATGCATGATTTGATGGAAATAAGTTGGAATACTAGTGTTGTTGGAAGCATATCCATCTAAACATGTTTAGGGCTATATCCAAAGCATGGCTTGGTTCTAGTCTGCATGGGGGATTGGTCAAATTAACCATTTGGATGGGCATGGTGGTTAAGGAGGAGCTCAAACCGGAGTGTTGCCTCGGTTTCGCACTGTGCAGCTAATTTGTTTGTGAGTTAGAATGAATTATGGATCGTTTTCTTTTCCCTCTGTTTCCCATCCACCAGATCATTCCAGCATATCTGTCCACAGCCACTGACCTACAATCCTTTTGGGTCAGGAGGTCAGGGATGAGTAAAAAGGCCGGGCTCTTGCATAGCCTAATAAAGGATATTGTGGAGCTGGGGAAAAAAGCACAAGAAAGGGCAACGCAAATGATCAGGGGACTGAAGCAACTCCCCTAAGAGGAAAGGTTACAATATCTGGGACTGTTTAGCTTAGAAAAGAGGTGAGGAACAGGGGACATGATGGAGATGTACACATTTATGCCTGGTGCGGAAGCAGGAGATAGAAGGAGGCACTTCTTCTTTCTGCCATGATGCTCTCACATCCCGGGAGTTGCTTGGTGGGAGATTTAGCACAGATGAAGGAAGGAGTCCTCCACACAGCACAGAGGTGAAACATGGAAGCCGCTCCCATGAAGTGCATTGGGGAGCTTTTGAAAGGGATTGGACAGATTCACGGAGGTGGAGGCCATCAGGGGCTTCTGATCGTTCTGGCTATACGCTTCCAACAACATTGGAGGCAGTACGCCTATGTGTGCCAGTAGCTGGGGAACATGGGCAGGAGGGAACCTGCTGTACACATGGGCTTCTCGTGTGTTTCCCATGGATGGCTGTTTGGCCACTGTGTGAGCAGCACCTTGGATTCAACACACCCTTGGCCTGATCCGGCTTGGCTTTTCTTGCATCCTTATAACCATGTTGTCCCCAGTCTAACAACTTCCAGATGTGTTGTTCTACAACTCTCACCATCCCCAGCTGTGGTGCCCGTGGGCATGTATCTGGGGAGGGTGCAGGTTGCACTCGAACACTATTGAAGGATACCAGGTGGCAGATTTCTTGTAAATCTCATGTGCTAGGGAACCCAGCTCCCGCCTTTTAGAAAACCTTACACGTTTTTAAAAGGGTTTATCACAAACTTACTCTGACTTCATGGCTTATTCCCACTGCAGCATGTGTGTGTTTTGAAGGACTTGGAACGACTGCCTTGCAGAAAAATAGGGCAGGGTTTGAGAAGTAGCATGGGTGTAGAAGTCTTGGGAAGGACACGGATAGGAAGGCCAGGGAAATACTTCAAATTCATATGGGTTTGTCAGGCTGTCTCCCAGTTCAAAGAAGTCTTCTAGTGCCACACCATGTAACCAAGTTTCATTGTGGATAATGGGGCTTATTCTTAGTGTGGGCCCTCCTTTTAGTACTTGAAGTGTTTTTTTTTCCTCCTTTAATGCTTGCTGGAATTCAATCCAGACCTTGTCAATTGACATTTGAGCAATCTCTTTTTTCCCCATCATGTTTAACTTTTGTGGCTAAATACAAAGTTTGAGAATCTAGCTTTTTGGAAAGAATGAAAAAGCATCTAAGTTATTAGTACTGTGAAAAATAGATGAATAGTGTGTGGACTTAATAGAAAGAATAGATATAATTGTCTGTCTTTAAAGTTCATCTACACAATA